TGTGACACTAGAGTCAGACTTCAGTGATTGCTTCTGTCTTTTATTATTTTGATGCAAATTGAGCCGTTGAGTCCAACTGCTTCTGAGACGGGTGCAGGGCCTTGAAAAATTGTTAACCCTGGGCCCGTAGTGTTTTAAAATAAGATAAGATAAGACGATTAAAATAACTTTATTGTTCCCTCAAGGTTAATTCAATTGTCTATAGTTTCATGTCTCATGTCATCGACTATTTCCAGAAGAATTACAAAGTCTGATGGCTGTGGGTACAAAAGATCTTCTGAATCTTGTCTGTCTGTCTGTCCTGCAGAGAAATGAGAGGAACCGTCCACCACTGTTGGCCCTTTGCTCCATCAAGGTGTTACGAAGTGGGTGATCCATGTTCTTTAGAAAAAGCCTCCACTCTCCTCAGTGTGCGTCTCTCAAACACATCCTCCAGTAAGTCCAACTTGATTCCAACCACAGTCACCTTTTTCACCAGCTGATGATGTCTTTTAATTCAGTCATATCAATTTTCAGAGACCCCCCCCAAAACCATAATGATAAATAAAGATTCATGCAGGGTGTGTTTTTAATGATACTAGGCTTGTGTTGGGTTGCTATGACAGTAAACTTGGGATACACACCTGCTTAGCAAAAGGTTTATGTTGTGATTTGTGAGCGTTGGGTGTGCCTAAACACTACAAAGTGAGAATACACAAATATCTAATGTTGTTGAAGAAATTTTGAGGTAAACTTATTATTAGTTGAAACAGACAAAAGGAAAATACTTACGAACAACAAGAGTACAGTGCACATCAAACAAAAAAACAACCTTGAATTTGAATTTCTATCTTCCCGTTAACCCAGTTATACTGTTTGTTGTCAGGTTGATGCTTTCACACAAAGCGGTAGCGTCTGAATTTATGTTTTCAAACAAACTTGGAGAAAGATGAAGGTACAGTCAGCAAAATGAAGGCACGGACACAGTGAATATTTACAGTGTACACAAACTGCACACTCATCCTGCAGCTCCTATAGTTGTGTGACAGGAGGGGAGCATTTTAGTCAGGTACGAAAACAAACTCAGACAAATATTCCTGGTTCTGTTTGAGTTTCCAGAGCTTCATTTTGGAGCCGTAAAGCAGCAGAGTGTGGGAGTCAGGAGAAGGCGAGAGGAAGGGGGGCAGACCGAACCAAAATCTTCCCTTCCTCTCATCATCTTAATGTTCCTCCTCTTCTCTGAAATAGGCTCCTGTCCTTGAGAAGAACGGCAGGAGGAGAGAGAAAGATTTATCAAGATGAGCTGGAACAAAGACATCTTCAAAATCTGCTCTTACTTTTTTCTCGCACACATGTAGATTGCGAGCCTGGTGTTTCATCATGGTTTGATTCCGGGCAGAGGCAGAACCATATGAATTATAGATCAGCTTATATTCCCGCAGATCCTGAGATATCAGGGGAGAGAAAAAAAATGAACCAAATCTACTTTAACACTGTCAAAAACAAATAAACCTCACATCTGCTGGACCGGTCACGTTTTTCAGATCACATATAATTAGTGTCGTCTCCAGCTGAATCGATTAAAAACCTTCGGTGTGGCGAGCAGGCGCAAAAACATGGTGTTTAGTCTTTGGAGAGAGGGATAGCACAATCCAGTTTGTTGATAAACCAAATCCTCAGTTAAATGAGAAATCCATGCGTTGCTGCTGCCAGTTCAGCGTCAGGGCTCTGGATCAGCCTGATTACTTTGGGCTGACTGCAGCAGATCAAAGTAATCCTCAAATACTAGAGGAGAACATACACAGAACAACCTTGTAGTACACCGAAGCATAGTGAGTGACAGCTGTACATTTTTACTGTATTTAGGGGAGGCAGTCAGAGAGCATATGTGAACATTTGTTCAAGTCTGAGCATAAGCAATGTATTCCTCTTTGCAAAAACTGCAGTGTGTTGAGGTTGTCTGTGCAGAACAGGAGCATGCTGGGTTTTATAATCAGGATTCAGGAATCACCTTTAGCCGCTGTCATCAGTCAAACCTGTCTGAAAGCTCTCAGACAGGGAGGGAGGAGAGTGAGGGAGGGAGGAGAGGGGAAATGAAAGGACAGATGGGGACACAGAGAAGCTAATATCCACGTTTAACACGAGTGCCGCAGTCTGAGACAGAGGAGAGAAAAGGGATACTCCGAGGGACTGGGCTGGATGATTCCTGTAAATACACCCTTTCCTCCTACAAGCAAGAAACACACTCTGTAGTCTTTAGGAATGCAGTGAAATTAAATCTGGTTTAAGGATGGTAATGGTAATGGGAGGTAATCCTGTTTACCTTGTATGGATGTTTCTGCTGCTCTAATGACTGAGCCTGTTGAAACAGCTTTCAGAATAGAGAAATGTGAAGTGTTGTTTCTGTCTTGCCTGGTTTTATGCCTGAGCAGAAAGATTTGCTGTAGCTGGAGGCACTATGTTATTGTCTGTTCAATTGTTGTGGATGCCTTCATACAGGAGGAGGAGTATGTCCAACATCAGGATCAGCTCTTAACTGGTCTTGTTGGTCTGAGATGTCAGTGGCATGTCCAGTTTCTGGCCATAACCAAATAATTTAAATGCTTAGTGTGACATTACTTCACACAGATGTCTAACATGATGAAATAATAGGAATTCCTCTATACGTAAGTGCTGACTCTGTCAACTTCACACTGAAGCTGAAATGCCCTGAAAAGCTCTTCTCTCATATTCTTGTCCAGTCATACGTCAGAAACCCCATGTGATGAATTTCATCCGTATCTAAGATTGTCAGATACATTTTTGTGAAAAAGGTCAAAGCTGTGGCACTGCCTTCAAGGAATTTTTGTTTGACTTTGAGTTGTTTCAATTTTATTCTTCATCTGTCTTCTGAACCCTCCTACTCGCCTCCTCGCCCCCTGGGTTGTTCTGCTTTTTCGTAATATTTTTTAAAAATCACTGCGTAGAAGAAGTGAAAGAGAGAAAAGAGAAAGAAACTTCCTTCTACTTTCATATCTGTTCAGTCCGGGCTGGAGTGTGCTGTTTATTTTATCTCATGGTAGTTTGTTCTTTCAAATTTTATCATTGAACATATTTATCCCAAGTTTAATCATATTTATGGCTTTAAACTGATTTCTGTGGAGCATACAAGCAAAAGTGAGATTGGTCTGAAAACTTTTACCCTGTTCGATCCAGAATAGATTGATATATTTCTGAAATAGTAACTTATTTGATTCAGAAGTTTGTATATTATATGACATTGTCCCTTCCTCGCACATTTTCTTATGTATCTGGTCAATATGTAGAGTGTGTGTGTGTGTGTGTTTGGAACATGTGTGAGGTTGTGTGAAGTTCACACAGTGCCAGCATGTGTACACAGCAGGTTTCATTTCCTGATTCTCCGCTCAGACGCTGGTTTCTCTTTTGAGAGGCGAGCCTACAATGACATCAGCTTCCGCCAACACACCAGCCATCACCATGGCACCGCACAAAGACATTTCTGGCACAGGAGGAGGAGGGGGAGCATCCTGCTTGACACATTTATAGTAAAGGTCTGTCCTTTCTTCATCTCTTATAACCCCCTCCTCCTCTTCCTCCCCTTCCTTCTTCTTTTTTTTTCTATTAATGTTTGTACAGCCGTCTGCTCTGTTTGCCAGATCATCAAAGAGCTACTCTGACTTCCACTGGCTGTAGTACACTAAGTCTGGCCCGTCCTTTCTCCCTCTCTCTCTGCTTTAACTTCTCTCTTCTCTTCCGCTTACTCTTCCATCAATGGCAACTGCTATCCATTAAGTCCATTTGAAATCTTTCTTTCCCAGCTTTCTACTTCAGACTCTTTTCCTCCCTGCCCCCCTTTGGGTTTCTCTTCTTGTCAGATGGAGCCATGACTCCGAGGGCAAAGTGCCTGTTGAAGTAGTGACCACCCACTGGGCTTTGTCTAACTCTTTGCCCCAATGGACAGAAGGCCTGTGTGTGTTTGTCTATGAGCGTGTGTGAGAGAGCGATACAGCTCAGCAGAGAGGGAGGGAGAGGTACAACTGTGTGGCAGATATCTGAAAACAACCACACTGAAAAATGTGAAAAATTTTTTTTAGGAAATACAAGTAAGAGGACCTTTTATGCGGTCAACATAGCGAAGAATAATTATAAAATGGCTTTGGTTATAACATTTTTCTTTAAAGTAGATAAGCCATAAAACACAGAGATGCATTTTTTAATAATTTTGTTTTTAAATGAAAAAAAATAATAATGTTGGCTTTTTAACTAATTAGTGTTTTTTTTTTTTTTTTTTTTGGTTGTTTTTTTTTCACTTTCATCTTAGTTACCTATTGGTCAACTTTCCACAGGTAAAATTAATAAGTATTACATACAAAATAAATAAATAATGATTTTAATAATAATAATAAGTCAATGTAATTTATTGTACAGTATACCAAAATTATTTACAATATCCAGACATATTTTACTGAATTTGACTTTGTTACCACAACATACCTGCCTCTATATCTTTGAATTATAGATATCAGATATTTTAACCCCATAGTCTCTCCAGTAACTAAATTAAATTGAGGACCCATTCAACTATATACACATATGGGTTCCTGAGATTCACGGCATTCAAATCTACCCTCACTGAAATAGTATCTGGTATAGTCAGAATTCATGGTATCATCCTAATGAAAGTCTGTATAAGCTCATGGTTAAGCACTAAAAATAACCCACTGGCTAATATATGTTGGCGTCAGCCCCAGGTGTATCTCTTCCTTTGCTTCCAGCTTAATATTATACAAACTGAAAAATCATCAATTGAAGATATGTCACTGTTTTCTCTAGGTACTTCAGGCATTACAAATTCATTGAGCAGCAGCTTCTTTCAACATGCAGATTTCATCTGCTTTAATCTAAAAATAGGAACCTATGCCAGATTTCCAGTGTTCCTGCTCAACCCGGGCTCAGTGTCTCTCTCTGAACACTCAAGTGTTTCCTTCTGGTGGCTGTTGAAGGAACGACACCCACAAGACTTCAGATGATGTCATCTCTAGTGCCAAACCTGTGACTTTATTGCATCGGCATATGCAATCAGTATGACATACATTAGCTTACTCAATTTAAAACTGTGGCTTTCAACTTATATACCTGGTCAGCGTGGTTTACACTGAAACACAAAGACAGTAACACAAATAAGGGCAGCTGTTTTAGTGATGCACATCAGAAGCTGTTTTAGCTGTTAGGAAAGGATGCATCTACAAGTCCAACATAGTGCAGTCATGGTCTCTGATTATTTGAAGAACTTGATCCTGCCAGTTTATACAAAATCATATTTAAGTAAGGTGTACATCAACATCAATATGTAGCTAAAAAGAGCATTTTTTTCTGAGTACTGCTAGGATTGTGCAGATAGTCTTCTTTTACATTTACTAATTCAGCTTCAGTACAGTTCCCAATTAAAGTGGCACACTAAGCCAGTTTGATGGCACCCAGGAAGGTGTCATCACCGCCCAGGGACACGTTGGCTCTGGGACGTGGGATCAACAGCTCCAAGTGGTCCCCGACCTCCAACTTTACTAAACCTGGAGGAAACAAATACAAAAATAGACATTTAGCTGCAATTTCCCTTATTTACTTCCACAAACAGCTATCACGAATACCAAACTAGAGACAACTAGCCAGTCCACACACACTTCCATGACAGGAAAACACTGTGACTGACTCGCTGTACAAGCTGTTATTCAAAAAGGGGGTAGGGGTGGGGGTCATAGCTGAACATAAACAACAGCAGGGTCTTACCTCCTGTGAAGCAGGTGTTAAAAGAGTAGTCTGGGTTCATATTCATATTCTGGATGCAACGGAACAAGATCACATACTGAGACTCATTGCCCACCACAGTTCTTTTCCTCCGAATCACCACATGACCCATAGCGAAGACGCTGTCCATGTAGAACACCTGAGCACACCAGGAACACAAAATTACACTGTGAAAAATGGTTTAGCCACGGGGTTTCATCATGTATAAACAGTCAAAGAGCATTTGCAACTTCATTTTTTATGCATGCAACATTTGCATTCTCCTCTCTTTATCTGACCTTTCTTCAAGGTCTATAAACTGTGTGTCTGCCTGAATCAAGCACACCCTTTTTGTCCTACGAGCCATGCAGACGCGCTCCCCTCCTATGTGAAGGACAGTGATTGGCAAGCAGTGCAGCAGCGCCCTTCTGTGGAGAAACTGTAGAAAGACAAGAAATAGAGCTACCTGGCTGTACACAAAGTAGTATCCCTCCTCAATGACTCGCATGCTGTCTCCATCTGCCTCCAAGGCTGTTCCTCTCCTCAGTCCAGTTTGCCAGGGGATACCTGTGTGTGGCTCTTCGCTAAATTCTGATTCAAGACGGAGAAAGATTACAGAAGACATGTTAAAACACCTGTAACAAGCACACCCTCCCATCATACAACTTGCTCCGAAACAGTTGGTCAAAAGTGCTGCTTACACCATCATACAGCACTTAGTTCTGACGAGCGAATTTGATTGGACAAGAGTCGTTCCATGTTTTCTGGTATAAAGTACAACAGCATGTCAACACCGATTAATGCAGCATAATTAACATTACTGAAATTATGTGTTAGTCTATATCATGGCTAACTTTTTAACAAAAAGAACAGAAAAAAACAGAAAAAAAAAAAGAAAACATTAACAAAACATGTCAGAATAAAGCTATGATTTATGGTTTGTAGACATACACAAAGTACTGCACTAACTAAGTGGGAAAATATGTATCAGTGTCTTTGCAACAGCTCAGTCTAGTTGCTTACAGTGATGTAGGTCGAGCAAAGCCAGTAATTAAATAAACAACCTGAAGTATTTGCTGCTTTAAACTCTTAACAGTCTATTAACTATATTTATAATATGTTTCTTGGTATAACCAACTGTATGTAAAAATAACCTCACTTCTGAGGTCATGTTGTTGTACTGAATATCAACATACCCTGGGTTCACACCCATGTTGAAATTCAGTGCAACAACACTTCCTCTGATATTGCTTAATTTAACATCGATATAAAGATGAGGAATATAACACCGACTAACCAAACAAAACAAATGTAAAATTTCTATTTATATATTTGAATCAAAATCTTACAAAACACCACATTATTATAGCCCAGTTGAGAAACACTGTACCTTTACTGAAGGTTTTCCTGTCACTGTTTGCCAGTAACTGTAGGCAGGGCTGAGAAACTGAAACATAAACAGAAATGTAGAGATAAGTTGAGTCACAACCTGAAAATAGCTGATTAAATGGCCTACTTTCCTTTCTCTTCACCTCCATCCTTTTATCATTCTCTGGGGAGACAACGACACCAGCCCTCTGCGGCAGTAGATTGTAAACATTACACCTCAGGGACTCAAAAAGCTTGAACTGATGGTGACAACATTCACACCATTAGCTAACAGTGAACACTAATAGATGCTATTGTTTTCTCAGGTAGTTAGCACTCAAGCTGATAAGCTACTGATAACCTGCTATTCTAAATGACAGTGTGTAGAGTTTTCTATCCCTAAATCTGAGAGGAATAAAACACTGAATGAGATGTTTTGTAATTTTAAGTCATAAAATTAACATGACTGAAATCAGTTATAGCTAAACGATGACACCATCAACACCAGTTAACGCCAAAAACGAATGACAACATTTTGGCGAGTGAACCAACTCATTTATGAAACGATGCCAGTTTTGAACTGGAGACAAATGACTAACAGCTGTATGTCATTGTTACTGTTAAGAAATCATCAAGCTAATGTTGAGCCTACCATGTGGTTGTCCTTCAGTGACCTGCCTTCTCCTCCTTGTCATGGGTGCAGGGTATTGAGCTCCTGGTTGGTGTATAGGCTCTGCGCTGCTTCTCCTGTTGCTGAATTTTTCAGTCTAGACAGAAAACAGAGAATCAGCTCATACTAGCAAAATCTCTCTCTGATTCTGTGCAGATTAGATGTTTGTTGTAAAGAACTTGCTGTCTCTCACCTGGCCTCCAATTTGCTCTCGTCCTTCATCTCTTCTGTGACAGACCTCTGATCTGAGTCCTTCTACCTCAGCCCTGAGAGCTACCAGTTGGTACAGAGACAAAACTGAAAGAGAGGAGGAGGTGACCGCAGCAAGCGTCAGCAGGTAAACAGGCCAAGACAGCCTCCCTTCACCTGTCTTTTGTTCAGTCTTGGGCTCCACATCTGCCAAAACTGCCATCGCAGGGCCCCAGATCACAGTGGCAGCATGACTGCTCCCTTGATTGAACTTTTCTGCCTCTATTTTGACAGATTTAGATGAGGAATGTTTACCGGCTTTAATCTAATTCCCGTCTTAAGGCTCCCTTGATCACCTAAAGTTTCGTTTTTGTCCTTTAGCCTCGGGTTCCAGTGTAGTCTGGAGGACTTCGCCGACCAAGTACAGTACAAAAAAGGGCAAAACAGCTTCCCCCTCTTTGTTCCGCCTCAGCTAACCACACTCAGTTCCTCCCTGACCGACAGCCCTAACAGAAATCTGTCACACAAATTCTCTCTCTCTCCTTTCTCTTCATCCTGCTCCACATCTTAGCCTCCAAACTCTGCTCAAGTAAGTGGACGCAGGGAGGACAGTCTTGTAGCTGGATGAGAGGAGGCATGATAAATGTTAGGGAGACATGATGAATCTGAGAAACAGACATGACTAACACTCGGAGATTTTAATCTGACAACTAAACAGTAAACGTGCTAAATAAGGAAGTGCGATGATGTCTGTCACTGTACCAAAACAAAAACAAATCGTCAAGAATCTAAATCCTTAATTATGCCAAGACACACGACTTTATTTGAACTCTTACATTAAAAAAAGCTGAAAAACGATAAAGATAAGCCATTTTAATGTATCAATTTATTGCATGTTACAGTACAGAAAATAGAAAGTGAAAATGTGTGCTTACAAAAGAAGTCATCGACATTGTTCTGAAATAGAAAAGAAACGTTACTTAAAAATGGAAAACCCTCAAACTGAATGCCTTGTACCAAAGAGAAAGATGAATCATTCAGATGTCAAACTGTACACATCCTATCAGTTTCTTCAGTAAGAATTATCTGTATGTCAATGGAAGTGATCACAAAAAATGTCAACTGCAGATTCATTACAGGAATTCACCAGGACTCAACATCATCATATACAATCTTAGTAAATGAAATTCAGATTTATGTCAGTATTTTCAGCAGCACTCACTCCGTTTTATTCACAATCATACAAACATATAAAATATGTTCCATGGTGCATGAGCACACTATCAGGCAAATTATTTCCTTTGTTAAAAAAAAAAAAAAATCAACATTCAGTTGAAGCTGTTTCCTTCACCAACAGGGTGCTGCACAGAAACAATAGGCTATATCTGTTTAGAATGAAACCTCAGTGTACCACTCAGAATTATTTCTCATTAGGATACTCACCAAGAAAATAAAGTGAAGGACAAGTTCGTTCATCTGTTCATAAAATCAAAAGATGGCGTGATGCTAACTAAGAGCAGAGGTGTGTCAAACAAAATTTGTAGGAGTATACTGTATATTCACATGGTTGAAGTCTGATTGCACAACATGCTCTATAAACATACTACTGGCTAAAAACAACGAAATTAAATGCAGTTTATGGATTTGTTAATACACAAAATGTCTTAAAGTCACAAATGAGGGGGAAAAAAGACCACCTATACATTGTTTTATATTCATTCATATTAAGGACCACACTTCACATTCATGATAGCCTCGAGCCCACAGTCCAATTTTATTTTACATTGACACACACTAATTTGGTCTTTGACTTTCGCTGAACTTTGTTTCACATGCTGTGTTTTAAACAGTGTGAAATATGGCTGAAGAGAACTGTATTCAAATGGCTTTGATACCACTGCAGTGCAGCATACTGCATTTGGAAAGCAGGAGCAGACAACAGTGTCATCGGGCTCCACTCCACCCTCTGGAAGACATGAGGGAAAGGTTAATTAGCTCATCAAAAGCCCTCCAAGTGAGTAAAGCCATTTTGCTATATACACATGGGGCAAGACAAGGAACAAAACTCATCCAATTCTCAATTATGCAGATGATACTTGCAAACATAGTCACTTAGTTTCATCAGAAGTCTTACATCTTATTGTAAGACCTCAAGCCGTTGGTTTTTTACACAATACTGACCTGACCACATTAGAGGTTGATGACTGATCATTCCTGCAGTCTGTACTGGCATATGAGGAACCCTTGCGTGTATGGTTAGAGTAGATAAAGGCCAAAAATGTTTTTAAAAAATCTACAAACTCGTGTTCGTAGAAAAAGGAACTCGAGGAATTACATGAGAAGTTTATCAGACCCTGATTTCCACAGAAAACCCCTCGAAGAATTTGCCAAAACACTTCCTTTTTAATCTGAGTTGAGAAATAGGGAAAAAAAGGCTAATGTACTGAATGCCAAAGACTCCACTCAGCTTCATATTCTCTTTCTTTTATAAACATAACCCAGTATTTTGTTTAATTTTCTCGACGAAAGTTACATTAAAACTGATCTTCACAAAGTCAGTACAGACAGTAGGATCATGCAAGCGAGCAATACATCTTTCAGTGAACATATGGGGCATGAATTACCATATTGGACTGAGACAGACTTTCGATCATTTGAAGCCATCCCTTAACTGCAAACCACACAGACAGAATGTTTGCGCAGGAGCCAAAGCTGCTTAGTATCACCATGAGCCAGTTTAAGAGTAAAGACACTCCTGCTTGTTTAGTATGAGCCGAATAAATCCAATCAGACTGCAACAGACACAGTTTGACAGGAAAAAAAAAAAAGATCTCAGGAACTTCTTTTCGATAAGCAGAAGTCGCCCACGTGCCACTTTTATGAAACTGACCACTTCATCTTAGCCATCCTTTCTGATGACTAAACAAATGACTCAACTGAAAATTTTCTTCCAGCATGTTACTGTACCATAAAAAGTCAGGGTAAAAGTAATAAGTACAATGTCATGACATACTAAGCTGCTGCAAGTCCTCTCGATGCAAAGAGAGGATAAAATGACTCGCCTGTCAAAGTTGTTTTTCATTTTAAAAAAAAATCTGACTTCGGTAAACCCAAACAATAACGTGCACTGTATTACAAAGTTTATATACACGCACACAGTAGAGACTTCCAAATGATCAGTGTCCACATTTTCAGAGGAGTTGTAACTTTATTTCAAGTAGCTATCAGATTTCTCTGAATTATAGTAGACATCGTTCTCTAAGCCGATATTTCAGTGATCTTGTTTTGTTTCAGCAGACCAATATGAGCTTATTCTTTTGTGGTTGTGCTGTGTCTTCAAAGTGTGTGGGCATGTATGTACTGGCTTCATTCATAAAGGGTCACAGATACATGCATTCATAGCTGCAACACAAAAGAACCCTTGAAGGTAAAATCACCTTCTTTAAAAATCTTGAAATAGTCAAATCATTGTAACAATATATTAAATTTACAGAGAGGTAAAAAGAGGGAAATAAAACAAGAACCCAGACAAAAGCGTAAAAAATGTACATTCTTTCTAAAACTCGTTTGAGTCCGTTTGATCAATTTCCACAACAGCCTCCACCTCCACCTGATATCAGCAGTCAGTCCTTGACAGTACTTTTTAGATGATGGTGACACTGGCCGTGGGCTGAGCACTCTCCTCATGGGCGTGGCTCTTCAGCAGGTCTTTCATGAACTGCTCTAAAGCAGCAAAGTAGCCCTGACACTGCCATGTGTCGTTGTGTGTGCCCTCGGGAAAGATAGCCAAGCGCTTAGTCCGCGCAGGTGACAGCTCATACAGTTGTTTCATCATTACTGGTGGGATGAGTTGGTCCGACAGGCCGGACACAAACAGCGAGGGCATGCGACACAGAGCTACCTGCCGGTATGACAGAAACTGATTTCTGTAGCACCACAGAGGCAGCAAGCGCATGGGCAAGAAGGAGAACAGTGTGGCTGCCATGTGGGGGATGCTGAGGAAGGTGTTTTCAACGATAATGGCTGCCACACGGTGAGGGTTGGCTGATGCCAAACGTACAGCCACAGCGCCCCCCAGTGAGCGGCCAAACAGTACCACTTTTGTCTTGTCCAGGTCAGGGCGGGTCATGACGTAGTCCAGTGTAGCCTCTGCATCCAGGTACAGCCCGTCCTCACTGGGCTCTCCCTCGCTCTTCCCATAACCACGGTAGTCCACCAGCACCACGTTGGCTTTCAGATTTACCAGCATCAGCAGGGCATTTGGCACCCTGTGACCAATATTACCCGCGTTACCATGGAAATAAAGGATGGTGGGTGGAGAAGAGGAAGTGGGGCTGCTTTGATTTCCAGGGGCGACTCCAGGAGGTGTGTCCCCTCCTGTGTAACGAAGCAGAATGAGGTTGAGCTTCACACCATCCTTAGTGCGGATGTACACATTCTCATGTGGGATTCCTGTTGGCATGGGAACATAAAGGCGAGAGGAGGAGGGCTGATCCGGGAAGTAGAGAAGCACATCCTGGAATTTGTAGAGGATACCCGCCACAGAGGCCAGGATCAGAGCCAGGAGCAAGAATCCCCCATACAGATGGAAGGTGAGGATGAGAGCCAGAAGAGAGACTCGACAAGCGCCCCACGACCAGGAGGCCAAAGTAAGGGTGCAACGCTCCACTGCCCCCCACAGCCTCCAGGGCTTCTCCATGGCTACACGAGAGCTGAGTCACACGGGGCACACTCTGAAAACACACACAGATCCACAGAGGAGCACAAGGAAGAGAGGAAAACAGTTGAATAATTAGACATTAAATATTTAGATAATGGTTTTAGTTTTAAAGGGATATTCCGGCGTAAAATTAATTTAGGGTTAAACACAGCGTAACACCGAGTTAGACACCCCGCCGAGAGATGAATGTTGCCAACTGCTTGCTTCTCTCGTTATACCAACTTTAGTAATGACTGCACGATAGCAATACAGAGAGCCACGCGCTCAACCAAAACGCCACCCTATGGCCACAAATAATGCTCAGAACAACACCTAACTTCATCAATAGTACATATAGGGTCCCAGCCACAGCACTAGCCACCAAACATCTTTTTTAGGTTTGCCTAATTTCTTTAGCAAAGAGACTTAACACAACTCACCTACTCTCTTCCAGCAGCCACTTGTTTGTATGGAGAGCTCTGGATGAGTCCATCGACTGAGGCGGGTTGATGCAGCTCAAGGAAGAACATTTATAATAATTTCCTCATGGAAAGTCAATCAGACTGAGACACTAAGTCAGAAGAACTACTGCGTCTCCAGTGCAAAATGATTAATATGGTGATTATTACTTCAAGGAAATGTTAAAGTATTGATCATAAATGTTCTTCCTTGAGCTGCATCACCCCGCCGCAGTCGATGGACTCGCCCGAGGTCTCGCTACAAACAAGCGGCTGCTGGAAGAGAGACGGTAAGTTGTGTTTAGTCTCTTTGCTAAAGAAATCAGGCAAAGCTTAAAAGATGTTTGATGGCTAGTACTATGGCTGGGACCCTATATGTACTGTTGATGAAGTTAGGTGCTGTTCTGAGCATTATTTGTGGCTATAGAGTGACTTTTTGCTTGAGCATGTGGCTCTCTGTATTGCAATCTGCGGTCATTGCTAAAATTTGTATAACTAGAGAAGCAAGCGGTCGGCAACATTCACCTCTTAACGGGGTGTCTAAGTCTGTGTTACAGTGTGTTTGACCCTAACTTAATTTATGCCGGAATATCCCTTTAAGTTCCATATAGAAAATGAAAACATTTGGCAAAAAACTCAGCCTGTGATCATTTTAACCAGTGAAAGACTGTATCAATGAAAGGATAACTCACATTTAAGCACATATCTATGAATGTTTGCAAGTTGCCTCCCATTAGCTAGTTGCAGATTGGCTTGGAAACAATATTTTAAATATGAACACGTTTGATTATACTTATCAAAGTTTAAAAATTCTCCAGGAGTTAAAAGAGTTGCTGAATGAATAAGTTACTCAGTTATTTTATTGGACTGAAATATTCAAAGCCCATGTCAACCAACTCTGAGAAATCTTAAACCAGTCTCGATGAACAGTTGTGTGGAAGAATACCATACTACTGTTGATTGAGGTTGGCTGACTGTTTCTGTCTGTGGCCCACTGAAGCATCGGTCATGTGCAGATTGCCACTTCTGTCGTTAATTCCTTTAGCAGAGCATATTTGTCATCTCTCTAGTACATCTACACCGGATGTGGTGTATTTCACGTTGGCACGAACTCATAATACAGTGAAGACCTCAACTTTACATAATCATCTGGCAGATCAGATACAGATGTAGCTGTAGTATGAGGCTGGCAGATATCTGTACTACCAGAGATAACACCGAGAACGAGACAATGTTGAGTACACGATAAAGACAGAGGGAACATGGTAAGAGTGCATTTGTAGGTATAATGTAGGGACCCCACCCGTGTGGGCAAAGATGGTGACAGCGTGAGGAAAAATGCAAATACATACGTCTAACGTTGGGAGTGGACTGTGGCTAGCTTTGAGCAGCTAATGTTCACTGGCGTTTAGGCTGACCGCTTCCTATCTATGGTCTGCCAAAACAAGGAACTGTACCAGAAAAGAGTAAAATCAAGACCTGAAACCAAGCAGTTCTGGTATTTACGTAAGCTAGCTGTAACTTACAAGCATGCTAACCAACAGGCTATCACTCGCTCATGTAGCTTCAGCTAACAGCACAGTAGAGCGCTTTAAGTCAGCCCTATCTTTTTCAGAGGTTTGCAGTGGAGCCACATACTCACCTTTCTCTCATTTTAGCGCCTCAGCAGCGTGAAATCTCGACTCTATGCTAAAACACAGACAGCGCGGTAGCTGGCATTCAGCTGCGCAGCTGGTTACTAAATTACACTGAAGTTAACTGGAGACGAGTTAAGACTATCTTGTGACAACGCAAGGTGAGCAGCTGACGGAAAGCACCGGCGAAGCTAGCTCATGCTATACAGCTGGTTAGCATCACTGGTGTATCTTATTGAAGTTCCGTGTTACACTCTGCTCGAAAACAAAGGTTCCGCCTAAACTTTCCCCTCTTTGTCTTTTAGTGTCATCTTCTGGACTGGAGTGAGTCCACTCTCACAGGGCGCTACTGATAATCTGACTGCTATTTTATGCACTTACACCCTCCACTGTAAAAGAAACAAACAAAAAGGACACAGATAGACAGATAGATAGAAATAACGTAAATAAGTTTATACTGATGTAGGGGAGAGTGGGGTAAGATGAGCCATTTTTCATATTTCGGATTACTACATCAAGGCAGTCATCGTTTTGTCCCTAACCAGTGTATCTGCATATATTTCAAGATGTTGTGCATCCCTATAAACCAACAGAATGAGTGTAAACATAGCTGTCTTGATAATATAGCATGCCAAAAAAAGTGGTCTCCTATGGTCAACTTACCCCATGTATGGGTAAAGCTGTTTTGTAAGAAGTCATTTTAACATGAGAATTCCTTTAAGTGATTCAGAACATTCGCAGCTGTATTTTTGAAAAGAAAAAGTTACACATTTCAACAATCTGAAGTGAAACTCTGATCCTCTCATCAGACTTCTTTACTTTCTCAGTTGAGTCACTGGCTCAACTTACCCCTGAACTACTATTATGACTGTATTAGTCCTCAGAGCTAAAATGGTGGACTTTTATGCTAGGTTTTTGACCCCATGTTGTAGCTCATAGATACCATAGATGTATAAAACACATTTAAGATGATCTTTTTTTGGTCTGACCACAATTTTAATAAAACTTATGATAGACTAAATTCACTTTGAAGAGTGAAAACTCTTTTGGAAATAAATGTCCAACCCCTTCACCCATGTGCTTCTAACCTGCACAGACTCGATGAATTGATGTCCATCTCCTAAATATTTGGTCAAATGATCAATTTCTTTTACCATTACCAAGCAACAGGGGGTGGCTCAACTTACCCCACTCTCCCCATACTGTTGTCATACTGCACATAAACACGAGGAATATGGATGTTAGGCAACACAAGTATCAAAATAAATAGAAACACACTATATTAAATGTATTTCTCACGTCAAAACATTTCCTTTTCCAGCGGGTCTTATATTAATTTTAACTTTGCTTAGTTTTGTAGTTTTTTTATGAACTTGATCTATTGTCCTGCTCTGTTTTAAATGAACATTGATTATAGTAAGACAGAAAATAGTGTCAGATATTCCTCCCATTTAGTGCTCTTTATTCTCTTTTCTAACTTGCCTATATTTGCATAATTGTAATAACACATTATTCTTTGTTTTATTTTTACTGCAGGGCTTTTACTTGTTACACCAGAAAAAATAAAAAAAAATGTTTTTTCATCTTAATGACCTGATGTACCACCACTGCTGGACACGTATTGTAGTTCTTATCCTCGAATGCATTTTAAGGTATTTTTTGGGATATTTCACCATTATTCAAAAGGACAGCTAAAAAGAGACTAGACTTGTGGGGAGCAGAGAGTTAGGAAGGACATGTAGCATACAGTGACTACTAGGCTGAGCCACTGTCCCTTATTGAATAGATTTTTTAAGTGGAAGCATAAAAGTGTGTATTACTTTGACCTTGCAAAGCATCATTCGTCAATTATAATTTTTTACATTCACTCACTTACATTTGTTAATTCATTCTTTCCTTGTAACCATATGTCGCCCCAAACAACCAAACTTCCCTACTGTCTGTGAAATATCTCAACACATTTATCAGGGGAAATAAAAATAGATGTCTCTTGCCAAGGATTATAAAATTTTGTTATAGTCACAAATGCAACAGGAATGACTGCCCCTAATTAGTTAATTGTTCATATCACTGTGACATGCATAGCAAAGCACCATGATTTGACACAGGTTTGTGAAATTACCACTGCAGTGCTATTTTAAATTTGCCCACTAGGTGCTGCTCTTGTATAGAATATAATTGAGATAATCTACCAAGTGCACATCGATGTCTTGGATTTAGGTTGAACTCCACACATTTAAGTCCCAGGAATGTTTCAAGATAGGTCAACAAATCCACGTTATGGTGCTCATACAAGGGGCCGTAGCTTTTATCCATCCAGGACATAAAGCCAAGATTGGCCTTTTCCCAATTACATTTTTTTTGGTTTATGAGAATCTTTAAATCAAACTTCCCAGAAAAGACATTCTCCAAAGCCTCTGTTTCCTAAATCATGATACTCATAAAAAGTATATGTGGACAGCTGATATTGGCCTGCTGCTGAGATCTGAACTGCAGACCATAAGAAATCCTGTTTTATGTGTTGGTGGTGAATTGACACATCTCCACCAACACATCACACCTCCAAAAGTGGGTCAAATTGTAGATGTGACAGCAATAACACACAGAGCTGCTAGCGGGAGGTTGCTGAGAGAAAATGTCATTGACTGAATCGCCCATCGATGATAATACAGCAAGGGTATAAACCTGCACATACCATTCAATCCAGTTCCTGTTCATATGCGGGATGGCTCTACTGCAATTCTGACTGTTGTTGCATGAGGTAACAAACGGAAGCAGGTTTAACTACAAATTGATAGTGATACTGATTCTGCATTTCTTAAAATTACAACACAGGAGTACATATGAAGAGGCTTGTTAAAAAATGACTCATGGATGTTTTCATCTTCTTGGGCTGCCCTATAGTATTTCCGTTTTTAACATCTTGCTCACATTCAGTGTGACCTTGGAGCAGATAGACAGATCATGTGCTGGCTAGCACAGCTGTTGGCTGTTCAGCTCTGTCCTTGAAGTTGGTTTCATTTAGGGTGTTGAAGGCAACATCAACACCTTATATACATCATGTTTTTATTCAGTTTGATAATATTCATAAGCTACCAAAATTAAATCAGTATACACTATAAACATTACAGCCACATAAAATGATATACTGTGTATATGTATAGACAAACATAATCATATTGATAAGTTGTAACTGCCACCAATATACTGATGCTGAAAATATTGAACCATAGAAATGTAATACAAATACACTTCGGCATTGCTGGGGAGGTGCGTGCCCAGTTTGGGTACCTCAGGATTCCATCTCTGCTCTTTGCAGATGATGTGGTATTGTTGGCGTCCTCAGACTGACAGTGATGGAAACCTCTAGAGCTCTCCTATTGCAGCTGATTGCATTGTTGTAGTGTTTCTTAAATCAGAAGTAAAAAACCCACGAATGAATCCGTCACATGGTGTTCAGGTGTTGTGTTTTTCATTCTCTGTTGGTAAAACCCCCAAAACTCAGTTTTATTTACCAACAAATAGACCTGAAAAAGGGGAAAGTCTTTTCTTTGATCTCAGTTATTAACCTCAACAAACTCACCCTCAGATCATGTTCATATCCAACCTGAACAATATATTCAGACCTAATAAGAGGCAATCATGATCTTTTTTTAAGGCTTTGTAGAAACAGTAGTATCTCTGATATGCATGGCAGACATAAACACACAGACACAGACACTCACACTGTGGTCTCTCGAGGTTGTTGAAAGTGCTGCATTCTGATGGATTCAGCCTATAAGAAAATGACAGCTGGCAAGTTCACTCTGTCTTTCCTGCACCTCAATTACCTTTGACGTGTCAGTCAAAACATCTTTTGCACACACACTACAACCCCGATACACACTGGTATGCACACACTCTGCTGCCTCACTATTGTATCTTATAACTCAATTACATTAAAATAGCACTCTAAACAGCTGGAGGGCCCGGGCCCAATAATACAAATTCAGAGCTGCTACAGGACGAGGAGTGACTGCGATGACCTGGTCGGGAATATCATATCATCAGGCTAAGGGACAAGCTTATTATTCACCTCACATCACGCACCCAATGGCGAGCTATTGATAGGCATTGATTTTTCTGTCAGTCAGCACCTTTTATGACTGGTGCTGCATCTCTATCGCCACATGTGCTGCAGCAGCTTTCATTGTATTTTTGGCGGGTTTGTGAAAGACGTAGCTGAACTGGTCTGACATCACTGTGAGTGATGCCTCTTTGATTTGCGAGTCACTGAATGCCATGCACAAGGTGATAGATGTGGTGTCCATGGCTACAATGTAAATGTGTTGTCACCTTGGAGACTGAGCATTGCTTTGAGTCAGAGAGGACAGCTACATAATGCAACTCTTGGTTTTTGAACGCTTCACACAGGAGAGAGCAAACACAAGCAGAAGTCACCTGCCAGAGGAGTACAACACAAAACTACCGCTCTAATTTCATTGATTCATAATTAACAAAGTAAGAGCTCCCATGGCTTTAATCCTGTCAGACAACAAGATTTAATGAGGTTGCACATACAGTACAGTGATGGTCTAATCAGCTAAATGAAATAGGCAGGCCTACCTCACAGTGTACGATGCTGTAGGCCCAAACATTGTGCCTGCCAGGAGTAAATAGGGTGGAAATTGCTGCATGTCTCAGGCAGCAATTAGGAACCTCCTGTGGCGAAGAAGCAGACATTTAATAAGGGATACAGGTCCCTCATTTCCCATGCTAATAAACCTTCTGTCCCAACTATAATGATATCTCTTAGTGTAATTAACCTATAGATATAAGCTCTATATGAAGAGGTTCATGTGTGTGTAGTCTTCTTTGATATTTGCAACACACCTGAGCATTCAGTTGTTTCACCTTGCATATAATTCAAACTGTACCAAACTGTATAAAGTACACCAGAAAGAATACGTAAACATGAATGAAGAAGTGTGGTCACCACTTTCCCTGAAATGCCCCCACACTATCTGCAGCATCTCAAGGATGTTAATCATATTATCATTAATCTCCAAGTCTTCCCCCAATCTCCTCTGATGGTAGAGATGGGTAATTAGCACATTTAGCCAATATGCCAAAAATAAGGATGAAAAGATGACTTTTAGAGAACTCTTTATTTGGCTCTCCAGACGCTCAAACAGTGTCAACAGTGGTAACACCACTTGCCAGAAGTGCTAAATCAGTCAGTCAGCAAATGTATTTTT